TAGACTATGGGTCCCTTGAATTGAGGCTGTGATTTCTACATCTTCATAGTCATGGTGCCCAGTATAGGGTCTGGTACATAATCGCATCAGTTGAGCATAAATGTGGCTGCTAGTAACAGAAACCCATTAACAATAGAATGTGTTGAGGCTAATTTTCTTCTATTACAAGAAAGATTAGACGTGTACAGGTGTTGGTTAAGGTGTTCAGTGAGGTCTTTGATGACCTAGGTTCTTCCCATCCTTCCCTTTTGCCATGCTGGGCATGTTGGCGTTATGTTCTCATTCTTGTCATTGCATGGATCCAAAGTAGCTACCACATTGCTGGCATCACACCCACATTGCCGGCATCACACCCACATTTTAGGCAAAAGGACGGGGGAAAGCACCAGCCATTTCTGCCTGTTATACAGAAAGAAAAAGCTTTTCCAAAGGCACATCTGGTTATGTCTCATAGGCAATATGCTGGGTCACATGACCAATGCCAGATGAAAGGGATTCTGGGAAAGCAAATGCCTGGCTTTTCAGCTTCTTGGGAAGGAGAGAATAAGAATCAGGGCGAATATGGCTATTGAGCCCAGTGAATGTTAAATAAATATACTATAAGCTGGAAAACTTTTTTTTCCCAAGTAGAGTGTACCATGACATTACTTTGAGGAAATAAACATTAAATTGGATTTGCTTTCAAGTTATGATGCTGCTATCATTGTTACTATTATTGCCATTCCTGGGCATAGCTGACCCATGCTGTCTCGCTTCCCTAAGACAAAACAGAATTGGCCCAAGTTTTCTCATGGGCATGGGACAGCGAGTAGAACTGGAGGGAGAGTCCGAGTTCCTGAAGAACGCAGTGTGAAGGGATTTAACTCTGGTTGTTTTCCTGAGAATATTTTACACACACTCACCTTTGGATCAGAAAAGACATTTATTCTGTGTTCTACCACTGGTCATTCTCTCCATGTGGCCTCATGTGTAACCTGTTGAGAAATTACTGGTTCTGACTGGTTTTCATTACCTTCTCCTTCATACACACTGTCCCAGCATTTAAGGGGGAGGGTTGACATGTTAACAGTGAAAGCAAATGTGCCAGAATGGGGCATGGAACAGCGCACCATCTCTCCTCTTCACTGAGGAACAGGACTAATAATACAAATGAAGAGGTGTACATAAAGGGTGCACGTCCATGGTACAGAAGAGGCACTTAGTAAATGTTAGATGTGATTATTTTCCTTCCTTTATTTGAGACAGGGTCTTGCTCCATCACCCAGGCTGGAGCGCAGTGGCACAATCATAGCTTACGGCAGCCTCTACCTCCTGAGCTCCAGCTATCCTCCCACATCAGCCTCCTGAGGAGTTTGGACCACAGGCGTGTGCCAGCATGCCCGGTTAATTTTAAAAAATGTTTTGTAGAGTTGGGGGTCTCTTATGGTGCCTAGGCTGATCTTACCTCAAGTAATCTTCCTGCCTCAGCCTCCCAAATTGCTGAGATTGTAGATGTGAGCCACCGTGTCTGGCCTGCTATCTTATTTCTATTCATAATAATGATGCTTCTTTTCTTCCTGCCTACCCTGCCAGTGAGGATCCCCTTTTCCTGTTACCCAGATGTGTCTAGATAAAATGAGAAGATCCAAGACTGAACTATGCAGTTCCCTGGTTTTACTTTAACTTCCCAGGGGAGCTTCTGGGAGAACCCCGGGCAGGCAAAACATACTGTAAGTTTTTTCAGGCGTATTTGAAGTAATCTGGTTGGGTAAACAGTAATCACACAAAACCTGGCTTTCTAGGAAGGTTAACCTGAAACTTTAATTGTTTTCAAAAATTTTCTCCTCAGGGTAATCACTCTATTTCCTGGCAGAATTTAATTCTATCAGTTTTCTGAACACAGGAAAAGAAGGCTATTTACAACTCGTATACTCGTATTCCTGCAAAAAACGTTCGAAGTTCTCTAGCAGAGAGCTCTTCCACATGGGTAGGAGGAGTGCTTTTCCATGCATTTCCTCAAACCGCTGCTTGACAATGCTCATCTGACTTTCCAGTGTAGCCTACATTTACAAATACGAAAATAATAAGAGGTCAATGGTCCAGGGTCTCGCTTGCGTGGCAGTCACTGATGTTACGGAGATCACTGTGAAATGTGAACGCCTCTGACTCCTCTCTTACTTGCTTCTAATTTTGCTTTCATCTTTGCATTAGGTTAGGTAGTAGTAAAGCATAATGACTAAGAGTCCAAGCTTAGGAATCGAAGTCCTAGGGTTAAATCTTGACTTTGCCATTTTCTAGCTCTCTAACCTGGAGTCCATTACCTTTTCTTACTGGACCTTATTTTCTTATAAACGAAGTTGCCAAATTAATATCCACCCCACAAAAATTATTGCAAGCATTAAATACGCTATATGAGAAAGTGCTTCAGAAAGCATTCAGTTGCGACTTCAGAAAACTCAACCCAAACACCTTAAGCAAAATAAGAATGTATTGACTCATGTAATGAAAACAGAAGGTGAGGCTGGCCATGGTGGCTCATGCCTGTAATCCCAGCACTTTGGGAGGCCGGGGTGGGTAGATCCCCTGAGGTCAGGAGTTTGAGACCAGCCTGGCCAACTTGGCAAAACCCTGTCTCTACTAAAATTACAAAAGTTAGCCAGGCGTGCTGTCATATGCCTATAATCCCAGCTACCCAGGAGGCTGAGGCAGGAGAATTGCTGGAACCTGGGAGCCCGGGGCTACAGTGAGCCTAGATCCTGCCACTGCACTCCAGCCTGGGCAACAGATCAAGACTCTGTCTCAAAAAAAAGAGAAAAAAGATAGAGTATCAAGTACGGCTAAGTGAAAAGCTCAAACACTGACAGTGGGCTCAGATCTCACTCTGATTTTTTGTTTTTTGAGGCAGGTTCTCCCTACATTGCCCAGGCTGGGGTGCAGTGACTGATCGCAGAAGTGATCATAGCACACCATAGCGTTGAATTCCTGGGTTCAAGCACTCTTTCTGCCTCAGCCTTCCTAGTAGCTGGGACTACACATGCAGGTGGCACTGTCCCAAGCTCTCACTCTACTTTTATTCCATTGCCTTCTGCATGGGCCTTATTCACAGACAGTGTCTCCCTTAGTGGAGCATGATGGTGGCAATAACTCCAGGCTTTTTTCTCTAGTTTCAAGTCCAGTGAGAAAGAGCATGCATCTCTTCCAACAGTCCCAGCGAAAGTGGCATGGCATCTCATTGGCTCTGAAGGTGGATCATCCCTGAACCAATGCGACAGTATGATTTATCAAACCTAAGCCACAATCCTACCTCTGGAGCAGGAGATGAAGTCAACACCACCTGCTGAACTGAAAGTATAGATTCTCAGAAGGAAACTGGGATGCCATTAGCAAAGGAAGAGGGAATGAGTGTTGCAATGGTAGGGGGTGAGAAAAAGGCAAATTTCCTCTAGAATGCCATCAAAATGGAAGTAAATCTCGGCTTTAGCATCAATCCTAGAATACCAGAATGGAGACATGCTTTCTTAGACCTTAAGAGAAATAAAATTAGGCTAAGTGAAGAAAGCGCCATTTATAATAGTAGCCATGCATGTATATGATTACAATTTCAAGAACTGAATGAAAATATAAATGTTCTAAAAATGTGATGAAGCTTTCACAATAAGCAACCAGAATGTTGCACGGTGGGGGTGGGGTGGTGGGTGGCATCTGGAACTCTGAAAACTCATTAGTTGAGGACAACTACGCCCACCAACAGAATGCAGAGCGAAGATCGAGCTGCTGGTGCCTGCGTTCTCAGCGGGTCAGAAGGAAGGACGATAGGGCTGTAGGGCTGGAGTCTCCGATTTCTGGGAAGTCTCCTTATCTCACAGAACACCTGCCCCTGGTTAAAGATCATCAGTTTGAGTTCTTCCAAGATGAATCTAGGAAGCCCTTGCTGGTAACTAATTCACCCAGCCTGGGGCGGGGTCCAGAGATTTAGATTTTTTTACAAGCTTTCCTGCCATCAAAATGAGTGTTTGGGACCTCAGGAGGCCCTCTTCATTCCTCCGTTGCTACGCTCCCCACTCTGTAATGGATGCATCTATTGACATAGCTGTCTCTGTCCCCAGAGAATGAACCCCCAAGGCGACTCAGGTAGCTCTGGGTGCCTGGCACACAGCATGGTGCCTGGAATGGATGAGCACCTAATAAATATTTGTTGAAGGAACGCGGGAGGACGGAGGCCAACTAGCAGGCTGCCTGATTTTGCCCACATGGGCTTTTCTGGGAAAGAAGAGCTTCTATTTTCGGAAAGGGCTTCTATGATTGAGGGAAGTTCATAGCAGCCAAAGAAGAAAGGACATTGGGAGGGAAACACTCCACTTCTCCCAGACCACACATTCTTTCAAAAGACTCCTCATCTCTTTCATAACAACAGTAACGACCATGGCAGATTATGAGTGTGGCTAGTGCCAGGCACTGTGTTCTCACTGGTGAGTGACAATCTCATTGCATCTTCACGCTGTTGAGGGGATGGACAGCATCACACCCCCATTTTATAGATGATGAAAAGGAGGCGCAGGGAGTGGTGCAGCCGCTGCAGGGGAACACAGATAGGAAGTGACAAGCCTGGGACTCTGCAGCCTGAGTGTGTCATCACGACCCACCTGCTGCTCTGCTCTTGCAGGCACGACAGCGCAGCTCCAGAGCACCTGCCACGCACATTTGCATGGTGCTCATTTCCATGCAGCAAAAATAAGTCAGTAAGTTATTGACTTAGAGAAAAGCAAAGGGCCTCTCAATAAAGAGGTCATTGTCCACCTCTCCAAAAAGGCGATTTTCTTTCTCATTTTTATTCCCCGGCTGTGTGCTGAAGGTCACTGGCTACAGGCCGGTGAAGTCACGGAAAGGAATCCTTGGCCAGGCAACTCAGAAATGGGAGGGGCAGGGGAGGTGGGGACAGAGGAGAGGCTGAATGGGGGTTGCTCTCCCAGACAGGACCTAGGAGGAGGAGGAGGAGGAGGAGGAGGAGGAGGAGGTGGAGGAGGAGGTGGCTAAGCGATTCTACAACGAGGGGCAGTCCGGCCTGCTTTTCCTCCCTCAACCGGCCCAACGACCCGCCTCCATCAGGCTGACCACTCCCCTGGGCTGGCCTGCTGCACCGGGCGCTAACAGCCCAGGCTGCGGGGACAGCCAGCGTTCCTGGCCGGCTGGGTGCAGCTCTCTTTTCAGGAGAGGAAGCTCTCTTGGAGGAGCTGGAAAGGTGGGTGCTAAGTTGAGGCTGATTTTGTTCTTCACCGAGTGCGCTTATCGAGTCTGAAGCTGGGTTGGGGCCACGGGCCTCTTCTTGGGAACAAATGGGATGATCATCTTGGGAGGGAAAGGCACTTAGGGAAAGGGCCTGGCTGCGCTGCGCAGTGAGTGGGGAGGTGGAGTGGGGGGAGAGGCGGGCACTGCGCAGGAAGAAATCGTTCCTTCTGTGGAACGGCAAAGACAGTCCAAGAGGACTTTTGTGTTGGGAAAAAGGAATCTGGAGGGACGAGAAAGGGGGCCTCTCTAGATGTTACGTGGCTTGGGTGTCAGGAGAGACGATGGGACAGCAGGTACTGTAAAAAGCCTTTCCTCAGGAAAGCAGAGAAGGCCTGGTCAGCTCAGGCTCCCAACGAGAGTTACTTCTAGGAGTGAGCCAGCGATGGAACACACCCAAGGCTCGAGAGGGGCAGGTTCTTTTCAGTTCCAAATGCAGGAAGGAGATAAAGGCTTGGTGCCTCCATTTGGTTCAGGATAAGGCCCCTGATAAGGGCCCCTGTCCCCTTTCTCTGATAACCCTGTCCTCTCCAGATCCATGTACAAAGGAGGCCTTCAAAAGGCTCCAACTGAGCAGAAGGCTGTGGGAGAAGAATGAAGGTGTCTCCAGGGGAAGAGTTGTCAAAAACTTAAGAAACAAGAAGTCAGACTTTACCTGGGTTTGAGGGAGAATTTTTTTTGCTCTTCTTCCTCCTCCTCCTCCTCCTTCTTATTTTATTTATTAATTTATTTGACATGGTCTCATTCTGTCGCCCAGGCTGGAATGTACTGGCGTGATTATAATCACGGCTCACTGCAGCCTCCACCTGCAGCCGCCACCTCCTGGGCTCAAGCAATCCTCCCACTTCAGCCTCCTGAGGAACTGAAACTACAGGCACATGCCACCACACCCAGCTAATTTTTTTGGGTTTTTTCGGTAGAGACAAGGGTCTCCCTATGTTGCCCAGCCTGGTCTCAAACTGCTGGACTGAAGTGATCCTCCTGCCTCAGCCTCCCAAAGTGCTGGGATCACAGGCATGAGCCACCATCCCTGGCTCTTCTTCATCTCCTCAAAATGTTTATTACTCAAGCATTCTTGAAAAAGAAAGCTCATGGACACACCCAGAACAATCTGGTTTTGCTCCACACTTTTAGGGAAGAACTCTGTAAGCAGCAGAGCCTTTCTGAGTGGCAGGGCTGTCTTAGGAGGAGCTGTCTTTGATGATGGGGAACTTCGGGTCCAGGTCTGGTAGGAAAGTTGCCCCATTTCCCGCCTACTCCTGGGTCTCTGGGGTGGTAGCACCACATTGGGCCATGTCATTTAGGTGAGTCCTTGGACATTGTTTTCTCTGCTTCTCCCTCTTTCTGGATACTTCTTGGAGCCTTTCTAGGGAACCTCGTCCTCCCACAGTGTCCATAGCATCTCTTAGCTAATGGTCCTAAAATCTCTACCAGCAGCTTCTCTCTGATCGCTAAGAGCTGCCATGTACTGAGAACTTTCTTTGTGCCGGGTTCTGTGCTAAGTGCCTTAGAGGAGAGATATGCAGTGTGGTACCTAAACCCTGGGCTTCGAGCAGACACACACTTTCGTATCTTGCCTTTAGCTCCTTATTGAACATGTCACCTTGGGCAGAACACATGCCTCTCTGTGCCTCAGTTTCCCATGCTTTAGAATGGGGATAACAGTGAATAATGTTCTCATGAGGATGCAATGAATGAACCCATGCTCAGTGCTTTTAACAGTGTCTGGCACCTGTGTTCATTAAGTTTTAGCCATTTGAATCATCTCTTTTAAGCCTCAGGGCAAGCCTCTGTAGTCTAAAGCCTGTATTAGTACCCTATTTGCAGATGAGAAAACTAAGGTTCACAGAGGAGAAGGCAGTCTACAGTCTGCAGTCCAGCATTTCCTCTGCTAGTCAGCAATAAAAATGATAACAGCTAATACTTAGAGTAAGTGGCAGTGCCAGGCTTTGGATTCATGAGGTGAGTTCTAGAATCCATCCCTTTAATCACCACACTAAACCTCCTCTCTGAGACGGTTATATAAAGCATATCTACTCAGGCTTGGAGTTTTTAAATGGCACCAGTTTGGCGTTGGAAATGCGGCTGACCTTCAAGGCAGCTCTGTGGAGGCAGCATCAGTCCCTCTGGATCAATCCCTCTGGACATACCTCGGTGGTTTGGCTGGCCTTATTTTACACATAGGGAACCTGAAGCTAAAAGAGCATCAGTAACCCCATGAAATCACAGTTAGTATAGGTTGGAATTGGGATTCAAATCTGTACCTGACTTTACACTTTATAATTCCTGGCTGGGCCCCGGTATCTTTTATGACACCAAAATTAATTTTTTCCTTCCTTCCTTCCTTTCTTCCTTCCTTTCTTCCTCCCTTCCTTCCTTCCTTCCTTCCTCCCTCCCTCCCTTCCCTCCCTCCCTCCCTCTCTCCTTTCCTCCTTCCTTCCTTCTTCCTTCCTTCCTTCTTCCTTCCTTCCTTCTTCCTTCCTTCCTTCCTTCTTCCTTCCTTCCTTCCTTCTTCCTTCCTTCCTTCTTCCTTTCTTCCTTCCTTTCTTCCTTCCTTC